CTAGGATTTTCGCGTATCCTACACAAATCCGAAACCTGAATTCTCCCGTATTTGTTACGAATATGCAGATACGAAATCAGGATTTTCGCGTATTCTACACAAATCCGAGGCTGAATTCTCCTGTATTTGACACGGATGCGAAGATTCGTCAGTTGCACACATGAATTTGTTTTTAATGCTATAAAATACACGGACATCAGCATGCCTATTTCCACACATTACATTTACTTTACATCACTACTGTTCTGCATCATAACTAACTCTAACTTACATCTTTGCAAGCACAAAAAAGAAGCCTCTTATGGTAAACAAAAATCATACTATTCCTAGCAATGCATTATGATTAAGGTTACAATTACAACACTTGAATTCTCCACTATCTTCATCTCCACTATCTGAAGAAGCAGCTTCACTTTCACTATCTGAACTGTCCTTCTCACTGGGACTCTCTTCCTCCCTTTCAACCCTAAGTCCTAAGTGTTTCTCCTCAGTCTCTTGCTAGTGCTCCACTTCAATATCTTGCTCCTGTTCAGTCTCTTGCTGGTGCTCCTGTTCAGTCCCCTTATGTCTTCAGATGCGCCCTCCTCACGTTTGGTGGAGACCTTGAACATGGTTCTTTAGTGCGAACACGCCCGGTTCTTTTCTTCTCATCCAGGAACCTTTAGTCCTCGGCGGTTAGGACTCCCGGTCCTGCCAACTGTCTCCTCTTCAATAACTGCAAAAAAATACACATTGTATTAGATTCTTCACACACAGGTTTCAACTCAATGAAAAGCTTGATATATTTCTTGAATACTATATACGGGTGACATACGGATCCCCGCAAATGCGACTACAGTATTTTCGCCTGTTTCCAAAAAGGGCTGTTACCACCAAGGAGAATAGGTCCAGGAGAATGTCCTTGTTACCATTGATTAGACCACAAGTTTGAAACGATTGGGCAAACACAGACGTAAAAGTCGAAGCCAAAATTTAAAGTTGCATTGCAATGCGGAATACAAAAAAAAAAGTTTGGGAGTAAAGTACTTTTGGGAAGGAAGGCTATCAGATAAAATATTCTGAATAACAATACAGTCCACAGATGGCCGGGCATAATTAATGGGGGTAGCCCATGCACAGCAGGGTAAGATGCCACAAGCTGGTACAAGGAATATGGGGAAGTGTAAAAAAACAGACTACCCCAGGAGAAACTAGTAAAATAAGCTACTAGTATCCGAACACAAAATCGAGGTTTTAGTAGGTACAGAAAATTTGGGGGTACAGGGAAAGCGAAACGAAACTTATGGCGTTACGAAAATACTAGTAGTTGGGCAAAGTCAACTAGTTCGAACAAATTTTGTTGGAGAACAGGGTACGCTTAGCAGTTTACTATAAAACAAAGACCAAATTATATCTACAAATATTATTTTGCACCTTTGAATACACTGGAAATAGTGTTTGAGTGGGGGTGTTTGAGAATCAGAAACTTCGAAATTTTTCGCCAACCCTGAGACTGCTCACAGAACTGACCCTTCGTTACACATATCGGGTGGTTTCTAAGAATTTGAAATTATCTTACCCCCAGATGTCCTTCTTTGACGGTGCAGCGTTGTAGCGGCCCAACGGAGTGGCCCGGCGTTTCCTCTTTTGAAATACTCTTAACTCTTGCTGCTGTTGGAACTTTCACACAGCGCGGACCGGTCAGTTGACAGCGGTGTTCCTAGGAAGAACTGCTAGGAGCGGTTGACTAGGAGCAAACTGAGATTACAGCTTGACTAACGGCCAGGCGACTGACAGAGAGCATAGCCCCCATGGGGTGTCATGCGGCTCGTGCTGATTGGTCGACCGGCATGATGACGGGTACAACAGGCGCCACGGGCTGTGTGTGACGGCCTTTGACATTCGCCGTCCATATAGTAGTTGGCACATTGGCATAATTTGTCACTGTCGGCGGCTTTTGTCTTATTTTCTCTCTATTCTTCAAGCTTTTCGCACCAAGACGCGGAGGAAAACTTGCTTTGCCTTTGCGTAATTCTTTTTGTATTATACAACCGACTGTCAGACTAGTTCCCACTTCGCAGCGTCACTGTCTGCACCGTTTGTCCATATTTTCATGGCGGTACCTCCGTGATAGTTTCATCCTCTTCTAGTCTTTCGGCGGCCGCCGTGGCGCAGAAGGGAACTCGCTATACATTCTGATCCTTTGAGTTACTGGATTTTCCACTTTGCGACGCCACTGTCAGCCTTTTGTGGTTTGAGGAATGTTTAATGTTTTGCGATATTTACCAATATTGCATTTTACGCCAAAATGAGATGAATATCTGCTGATGTTTAGACTTCATTTCGAAACCTACAAAGTTGATTTGAGGAAGATTGGTCAATGTTTTGCGGTAATGGGCATATCATTTTTATGCAAGAAATGCTTTGTCTCCTATTACAAACAAACTGACTAATCTAAACAAACGAGATGGGACACATTCACAGAAATATGAAGCTTTTGAATCAATTTTGAATAAATTAGTCAACTGCACACTGTCACGGATGCAGGAAGATTCCGAACAAATGCAAACAAATTCCAGATCCCTAAAGGATACATGAAAATACCCCACGGATGTGACACCGCATCTGCCGGTCCACTCTTGTACAGAAATGGCTTTTTTGTGTCACTCGACAAAATGGAGTCGTTCCAATGAATGAGATGAATACCTGATCTCGAGACATGTTTTTTTTTTTTCATTTTCGTGAAAAAAATCCTTTAAGGACCATATTCATTGAAAATTGAAAAAAAAAATGAATGCAGGGCAGGGTCAGATTAATTTTTAATGGATTCACTATGAAGGATGCCATTGCATCAGATTGTTTAGAAACCGAGTCACAGAAATGTGGCTTTTGTATCAATTTTGAATGAATCAGTCAATTGTACACTGTTACGGATACAGTAAGATTCCAAAGAAATGCAAACAAATTCCAGATCCCTAAAGGATACATGAAAATACCCCACGGATGTGACACCGCATCTGCCGGTCCACTCTTGTACAGAAATGGCTTTTTTGTGTCACTCGACAAAATTGAGTCGTTCCAATGAATGAGATGAATACCTGATCTCGAGACATGTTTTTTTTTTTTCATTTTCGTGAAAAAAATCCTTTAAGGACCATATTCATTGAAAATTGAAAAAAAAAATTGGATGCAGGGCAGGGTCAGATTAATTTTTGGTGGATTCACTATGAAGGATGCCATTGTATCAGATTGTTTAGAAACCGAGTCACAGAAATGTGGCTTTTGTATCAATTTTGAATGAATCAGTCAATTGTACACTTACGGATACAGTAAGATTCCAAAGAAATGCAAACAAATTCCAGATCCCTAAAGGATACATGAAAATACCCCACGGATGTGACACCGCATCTGCCGGTCCACTCTTGTACAGAAATGGCTTTTTTGCCTCAATCCACAAAATTGAGTCGTTCCAATGAATGAGATACATACCTGAACCGAAGTCATGAGTGCAAATTGGGGATGTTGCAGCATAATTTGCATAAACGACACAAGAAGAGCATTTCTGGCTGAAAAATTGGAATTCGCAAAACGACAAGCATTTCACTCGAAGCGACTTTTCTCAGGTGCCACAATGTTCCCTGATGTCATGTGTGCGAATTGGTGATGTTACGGCATAATTTGCATAAATGACACAAGAAAAGCGTTTTTGGCTAAAAAATTGGAATTCGCAAAACGACAAGCGTTTCGCTCGAAAAGACTTTTATCAGGTGCCGCAATGTCCCCCGATGTCATGTGTGCGAATTGGTGATGTTACGGGATAATTTGCATTAATGACACAAGAAAAGCATTTTTGGTCAACTGCACACAGTCATGGATACAGGAAGATTCCGAACAAATGCAAACAAATCCCAGATCCTTAAAGGATTACATAAAAAATACCCCAAGGATACGACAACGTATCTCCTGGTCCACTCTTGTACAGAAGG